CAGACAGTACGGATGGTCAGGGCTCACAGGGCCCTGGGAGGTCTTTTGTTGAGCCCCGCCATTGCACAGAGAAGAAACAGGCCCAGAGAGGCTAATACTGTGGGTCCCTGACCTCAGCCAGCTAGTGACAGAGCTGGGACTAGCCCTGGCCCCCTGAGACAAGGAAATACATTTTCCCCACAATGTGGAAGGATGTGACGATAAGAGGTGAGGTCTGGCAGGAGCCAGAGGACTTGAGGAGGCCCCGTCGAGGGGGCCTTACAGCTCTCATGGGAGGACTAATTCATCACGACCTGATGGTTTGGTGTCTTAGGTCAGTTGTCCTGTGGGAAGAAGGGGAGGAGAAAGGAGACAGGATGTAGGGGGCATGGAGATGCTGGTGTTGGGAATGCTGTCATGGAGAGAAGGCCGGTGGGCAGGTTAAATCCCTCCGGCCAAAGTTCAAGTCCTCTGGGTTTTGTTCTATTGTTGCTTCCCTTTGTCCATACTGCCTCTCAGTTCTCTGAGGCGCGGATTTCCAGTGCTTCTCTTTGCAAAGGATTTTGCAGAAATGAATTGCACGATCCTCTCCACCTTTCCCACCCACTGCCCAGGGCCAGTGAATAGCATTTACCCTTCCAACCAGAAGTAGCTCCGAGATGGGGAAAAAGCACAGCTCCCCTGGTCTAGACCTCCCAGTTCCCAAAGGCAAAGCTGGACAGCTTCTTAAATCTGGCTGGACCAGTTCTTACAGAGCCAGGTCCCAGGGCCCCGTCTCTGCCTGGCTGTAGGGTCTGGGCAGGGAAGTCTCATCTTGCTGGTGACAGTGACAAGGAAGCCATAGCTACAGTCCCGGCCTCCCTTAGTGAGTGCCGTGTGTGCTCTAGCCATCTTTCTTATGTTACTTAATTGACTCTTCACCTAAACCCACAGAGAAAGATGCTATTATTATCTTGGTGTCACAGACCAGGAACCTGAGGCTCAGAGAGGTTAAGATCTCATCAAACATGCTTAGGGTCACCCAGCTGGGAAGGAAAAGCTAGAAGTCAAATCCCAGTCCTCCTGACTTGAAAGGCTCTTCCGGGGTGACAGAGGCACAGAGGGCCAGGGGTGGGCGAGAAATCAGGGTGGCAAAGGATGGAAGCAGTTCCTCTTGATGGAGAAGGAGCAGGTAGCATTTGGGATCACCACAGCCCTCTCCCAGTCCAGAGGGGCCCTTTGAGACTGTAGTTCTTTCTAGACTAAGCTGTTGAGATTGTTCTACTCCAGTGGAGAGAGGATAATGAGAGACTGGGGAAGAGGGCGACAGGGCCTCTGATGGGGGAGATAAAATGCAAACCATGTCTGAACACTGGGGTCCTCGATTTCAGTCCCAGCACTGTCCCAAGCTGTGTGACCTCAGATAAGACAATTCCTCTTTTGACCTCAAATTTCTGATCTCTGCTATGAAGCTACATAATTTCTGGCTGAGAGCATGTGGTTTTTTGACTTAGAGGTTCAGATGGGGCCCTAAAAGACTTAAGAGGGTAAAGTCTTAACTTAAGGGGTTTGGGAGGGGCATCCCCGGGAATATAAACATACTATGGAACCATCGGTCAGGCCACCCCTTAAGAGCAACTTAAATGCAACTTGGCCCAGGGCTTGGACCCTTCTCATGAGGACAGCACCTTCTATCTGGAGGGTCTCTATCTATTTCTCCCCTCCTCCTGAGGCTACACCACCTTACTTCCCAAATTCAGGGAGACATTAAAGATACCCAACTAGAGCAGTCATGGCTGTAAGCGGTTGGTGTAAGTCTGTAACAGGGTATGCCAACTGTATGCCAGCCCTGCCTCTACCCATGATTCCCCCTGATAAAGTCTGGTTCAGCAGCTGAAGAGCAAAAATAGACAAGGAGGAGACTGGGGAGCAAGAAAAAGTTGAGGAGGTGAAGGCAGGAAGACAGTTCCCAGGTCCTCTCAGACATCAGTCAGCTCATCCCTCCCTTGAACCCAACCATGCCATCCATCCAGCCTCACCATGGCTTCTAAGAGTTTCCTTCCCATGCTTTGTGCCCTGCAGCAAGCAGTGCTGTCCACCAATGGCAGCTGCATTGTGGAGGCTGACAAAATAATGGAGACCTGGGTCTGTATTCTGCATTATCATCCCAAACTTGACAGTGGTCAGGGGCCCACCCTCAGTGTAGCCGACTCCCATCTGCCAGCAGGATTGGTGCTTTACTAAGTCTGACAGCCAGAGACCAGGGCTCTTGGCTCAAGCACTCTTGGCTGTCCAGTCCCATGGAAAACTCCAAAGCCTTCCTTTCCTCTCCTGTTTTCTTCAGCCACTAGCCTGTTTTCATGAGTCTTTGCCAACGTGTCCCAGGATTGCTGCATTAGTCCCCTGGCTTCCCTCAGCCTCAGGACTGTCTCTTTGTTGTTCCCTATAAAAGTTCCTGATTTCTCATCAACCACTAGGAGTCTGATATTTCAGTCACTATTTCTTGACTGATTAATAAAGACCTCACTTCCTCTACCCTGAGCACAAGTCATTTCCCAATGACCAAGAAATACTTACTGAGCCTCCACTTATTAGTGCAAAGCATTATATTATAGAAATGGGGGAAGTTATCAAAGAAGCAGAAGGCATGGCCTCTGTCCTTGAGGAGCCTTCACTATACTATGGAGACACAGTGTATAACACAGAAAAGATAGCCAGTAATGCAAAGGTAACCTTGGATAGTAAGTTTTTTTGAGGCTCTTCTGAGTCTATTAAAAAAGTAGGTCACAGAGTTTATAAGGAAAGATAAAATGGAGCCAGTAAAAAGCTCTAGATTGACAAGATGCACCACAACTTGCATGAGAGACCAGGTCAGATTAGAATTATTAGCTAGATTGTTAGGGTTTAAGTAATAAAGCTGTGTTCTCCAGAAGATACCGTGGGTTCATGAGGAACAAGGTATGACATATTTATCATTTTCTGATAAGGTTCTAGAGCTTGGTTCAAAGGAATGTCTTAGGTTTGGCATATCTTGAATTCACAAGGTTTTCTGAAAGGTCTTAGTTGGTGTCTTTATAGAAAAGAGAGCTAAATAAGAGCATAGGTTCATGGGTTCAGAGCTGCTTGAAGGACTGTCCCTGCACAGATGATGGCTAGCTCCTTGGCATCCCCGGATGAGGGAGCTATGTCATCCAGGTCTGTCTATAGCTTTGCTGAGGTCAACATTTTTGGCAATGATATGGGGAAAGACCATGGAGACATTCTGATCATTCTGTTAGTGACCCAAATCTAGAGACACAGTTAAGAATGAAGACTAAGAAATATCCTGACCCCTTCTGGATATATACTGAAAAGAACTGAAAGCAGGGACATAAATATGTGTCTACCCACGGTCATAGTAACATTATTCCTAAGAGCCAAAAGGAGGAAGCAACCCAAGTGTCATTGACAGATGAATGGATAAATGAAATGTTCTATATATATACAAAGGACTATAATTCAGCCTTAAAAACAAAGGACATTCTGAGACAAGCTGCATGTATACAAACCTTGAAGACATTATGCTAAGTTAAACAAGCCAGTCATGAAAGGACAAATATATGATTCTAGTCATATTATTCTATTTTTTCTTAGAGCAGACAAATTCACAGAGACAGAAAGAATGGTGGTCACCAGGGGCTAGGTGGAGAGGGAGATGGGAAGTCACTGCTTAATCAATACAGGGTTTCTGATTTACAAGATGAAAAATATTCTGGATGGTAGATGGTTGCACAACAAGATGAATATATTTAGTGCCACTGAACTGTAACATATAAAAATGGTTAAAATGATACATTTATACCATGAATATTTAACCACAATTTTAAAAACTTGACCCTAAACCTATGATACGATATTTAATAGGGATAAAATCAGAATCCTGTTTATGTCCAAAAATTAAGATATACAAATACAGAATGAGGAGAATGTGGCTGGGCAACAATGTGGCGGATGAGCTATGGTCTCTGCTGTACTCTGATTATCTGGAAACATGTTTAAGAACCATTGGCCAAGGCTGGTTTTACCCTTCCCAGAAGCCTATGTGCAGATAGGTTTGTTTATTCTATATAGAGATATGTGGCTTCATGACTAGACCAGCGTTTCTCCTCAAGGCGGGCGGTACTGAACTATGCTTTCCCAGTGGCAAGCCAAAGACTTAACCCTTTCTGTTCTAATGAGCACCCAACCGTTGGGTGTTTATCAGATCTGTTCTCTGTCCAGAGTAGGGTCCTCTCTTCTTGGTTGGTACAGAAAGCAGATTTTTCCAGATTTCCTTCAGTTTTGGTTGAACAACATCCCAGTGATCGGCTCCATTTCCTTACCCAGGGTTCACTCTCATGACTCCCCCAGGTCATCCCTCCTTCTAGGTGGATGGGTGAACCCATGACCTGTTGATATTTCACATTCATCCAAACATGCCTGGGTATAACAGACTGGGTATAAAACTGTGCAAGTGTCTGAAGCCTTCCATCCTCTGTTCCCTGGGAGGCCCTGCCCTAGAAGCCGTGCCATACAATTAGCTCAGTGTCTCTCCTGCCAGCCTACTTCACCCTCTCTTCTGCATTGGATGAAACCTTTTACCAGGCATTTGTATACCCTGAATTGAGTGAGGGAGGTAGTCCTGCCAGAAACAGCTCTGCCAGAGGACAGGGAGTAGGATTCCTGTCTGTCCAGTCATGGACAGGGTGAGAGAGTGCCAGCTCTGACCTCCTGGAGGTACAGTCAGTAAGTACAGCCTCCCTTCTCTGGGGGGCACAGAGGGAGGATGTGGAAATGTTTGTGGCAGGGAACACTGGAGAGCAGGGCATGATGGGGAGCAAATGCCTCCAGGAGGAAGGAGCTGGAGCACCAGAGGCAAGCTGTGAGGGAAGGGAGGGGCCGTGGCTGTTGGGCTGAGGTCTCTTCACAGTTGGGAGATGATGTTGTGGTGGCAGAGAGACCACTGCATCTGCCCACCTGGCTGCCATGCCTGACAACTCTGTGCTCTCTGTTCTTCTGCCCAGAGCACGATGAGGACCTAGGCCATCTGCCTGCCGAGTGTTCCCTGGGCCTGTTGTGACCATGGCCCCCCGCAAGAGGAGCCGCCATGGCCTGGGCTTCCTGTGCTGCTTTGGGGGCAGCGACCTCCCCGAGATCAACCTCCGGGACAACCACCCCTTGCAATACATGGAGTTCTCCAGTCCTATCCCGAACCCAGAAGAGCTTAACGTCCGCTTCGCAGAGCTGGTGGTCAGTGTGTGGGGGGGGCAGGGTGTTGACAGTGGGTTGGGGGTGGCTGGAACAGACAGAGCAGGGCAGAGGCAGGGCCCATGGGCTGAGATCTCTACTCACTGAAACTCAGCTTGGGGCTGAGGTGGGCCCCCAGGGAGAACAAGCCACTCACTTGCATGCACCATGAAATGTGTCCCCAGAAGAATGGACCTACTTCACATCTGCCTGGGCTTCTAGACTTCATGGAGCAGCATTTAGGCCACTATGGAAGGAGCAGGTCCAGGCTTTTGTGAAATGAGGCAGTGAGGAGGCTTGCAGACATCAGAATACTTCCCTGGGATCCTTTTATCTCAGATACAAGAACAAGGGACAGAGTGGAATTCTGTAGGCAGATACCTAGTCCTCAGAGCAGGGGATGATAGGTTAGAAATATGGAGGAAGAGATGCTGTGTTATACCTGGAGCCTGGATTAAGTCCGAGATGTCAGTTACATCCCGTGTCGAGCCAATGGCAGGTGGAAGCTCTGTGTTTCGCACTGGAAGCAGCTCTTCCTGACTGTTCATGATGCCCAGCCAGAGCAGAGTGTCACACTGCCTTTGTGGGAATCCCTGTATGTGAAACTTCATACTCTGACCACAGAGAGACAGAACAGGAAAGAAGCATGATTCCTGTCCTTGGAGATCTGATGGTGAGACAAAACCAAGAGAAGTGACAGATCAGAGATGCGGGACCTGTGGCCCAGGACTCAGGCCTGAACCTGGCATAGCAATGAACACAAGTTCATCTACCATTAGCTCTTGGTCCCTCATTCTCATGGTTGACCATTAGTCAAGTCAGTAGAGAGACAATGCTGTGTGATTTCAAATGGGGCTTCAGACTTGAATTTTATAATGAGTGTATCTGGTTAAGGCAATCTAACCCTTCAAATAACAGTACCACTGTAAGATGAGACCATGCAGGTGATATGAAAAAGTTATCCATCTTCCTTATCACATCAGATTCGGGAAAACTCACTGTTGCCTCAATTTATACCTGCCCTTGGAATGGTGCACAGGGTAAGAGAGAACAAAGTATTTACTAGGATAAAACAGCATTTGGAACATGACTGGTGTCAGTCAGTACTACTAAGATCTGTTTTTTATTTGAATACTGCTGACACCAAATGTGTGGGTTGTCCATATCAAGCAGTTCTCCAGTTTTTTGCAGATACCAGCTAGCTATCTGACACTCACTACCCAGAGTTAGTGCAGACCCTGCAGATTAAGGGCTCAGAACCACAAGCCTGCCCCCACCCTCCAATCAAGCAGCAATCATAAGAACTAGGTCCTCAGGGTACCCACACTTAGGTTGACTTGGCTACAAATCAGGGGTTCTCATGACCTCCTCCTCAGTTTCAATAATTTTCTAGAAAAGCTCACAGAACTTTATTTACTCTTACTAGTTTATTATGATAAATAATACAAATGAACAATTAGCTAAAGAGGTATATTGGGCAAGGCTCGAGTCTCGAGCCCAAGAGCCTCTGTCCTTGTGGAGTTTGGGGTGCACCACCCTCCTGGGCTGAAATGTGTTCCCCAACCCAGAAGCTCTCTGAGCCTTGTCATTTAGGGGCTTTTACGGAGATTTCATCATGGAGGCATGATAGATTTTTAACTCAACTCTTCAACCTCTCTTCTTTTCCCAGAGTTTGGGAACTGGGGCTGAAAATTCCATGTTTCTAATCAAGGCTTGATCTTTCTGGCAAGTAGCCCCCATCTCACAGCTCTCTAGGGTCCCAACAAGTCATTTCACTAGAAGAAAAGACTCTTGTCACCCAGGAAATTCCAAGGGATTTAGGAGCTCTATTCTAGGAACTGGGGATGAAGATCAAAAATATATTTCTTATGTTGTCACAGGTACAGATGTTTTCCTGAACAGAGTGCATGAGTTTTGAAAGAAGGACATGATGAGAGGTGTTCCTTTCTTTGACCTTTGTATTCAACAAGTACTAACCAAACACCTGTAGCCAGCAGGCTCCTTACAAGGTGCTTTGGCAAAAGCAAGAATGAGTCAGACAATCTTGTCTGCAAGACTAGTGTCAGCTATTGAGCAGACAAATGACAATTATTTCTGGAGAGGCTGCTTTGTGCTGGGCCCTAGGAGGGTCCCAGGGATTAGTGATGGACCAATAGACACAATCTGCCTCTAAGAACATGAAACCTCTTAGGGAAGTCTGATTCTGAGCAGTCATGACAAATGTGGTGAGTGTTTGGAAAGGTGAAGTTCAGGGGGCTTGTGGGAGTGTCTCGTGGGGAGCTTTGTTCTGGACTGGGAGTCACAATGGCCCCCCAGAAGCTGTGGAATTTCCCCTGATACCTGCAAACAGAATAATGATTAGGTAAGTGAATGGGGGTGCAGAACAATGACAGACGATCTTGCACAGAAGCAGCAGCATATATGGGAGTCTCAAGTTAGAAAAGAGCTGGGTCCCTTTGGGGGACCCCATGAAGTTGAGAATAACTGAGGAGTTTGGATTCAATCCTAAGGGCAATAGAAAGCTACTGGAGGCTTTCAGCAGGGGTTTGAAGTGATGTGATCTGCTTTCCTACAAGACCATTCAGGGCTCTGTATTGAAGAATGGTTCTGGGTAGACCATTAAGAAGCTCTTGGCACAGTGCAAGCTAGGGAGAACGGTGGCTTGGACTAAACTGTTAGCACAGAGAATGGAAAGAAGTGGACGGATTGAAGAGTATTTAGAAGAAAATATAATAGGACTTGTTGGGATTGGTGTGTGAATAGGTATCAAGGAACACCCAGGTTTCTGACATGAGGAACTGGGTGGATGTTGGGGCTCTATACAGGACAGGATATGCCAGAGTGGACTCAGGTTTAGGGGACTGGGATGATGAACATGTTTGCATATTCTTTGTGTATCAGTTTCCTCATCTATTAAATGGGTTGTTGCAAGCTTAATGAGTAAATATTTAATACTTAGAACAGGGCCTGGGACATAGTGACACTGTATGTGTGTGAGGTTCCTATCAAGGTAGATAGGTACAGGAGGTATATGGGTTCCAGGGCTTGGGGCTCAAGAAACTGGTGGGCTGGAGGTACAGGTTTGAAAGAGTTTGGCATTATAACTGAGTCCTTGGGAATGGCCAGAAAGGCTTTAGCTGGGGCAGCACAGAGGGAGGAGAGCCAAGGAGCCAGGACGGTGCCCTGGGCGACTTCCACATTTGATAGTAGGAGAGAAGAGAAGTCATCAAGGGAGCCCAAGAGGAACATAGAGTGAAGCAGAAGGGACTGACTGCTCGAGAATGTGCTTGTCAAAGAAATCAGGAGAGAGAGACTCAGTAAAAAGTAATTGGCCTGCAGTCATAGGCTTCCTGGGATGAGCCGAATAGCCAAGGAATGTCCATTGATTTAGTAACAGAGACCAGTAGCAAGGGAAGACAGTGCACAAATGACCAGAATACAATGATGAACATAACTGCTCTGGAGTTCAGGAAGAGAGAGGAGTTCTTCCCTGGGAAGAGCTATGGAAGGCTTGCTGGAGGATTTGAGCTTGGGAATTAGATCAGAGTCCACATGCAGGGAGGGCATTCCAGATGGAACTAATTGTATAAGTAAAGCAGAAGAGATGCAGTCTGTGCTGGAAAGTGTAAGGTGCAAGGTAACTCTTTTTCTTTTACTTCTGATCCTGACCATGGAAAGGAAATGGTTCAGAAACCTCAAGCAGGCCTCTGAGAATTTTGACTAATGACACTCCTAACACAGGTAGAGAGTGGGTCTAGAGAAGAACCTTTGTTTAGCATTAGACCTGCAGGAGTCTTCAGTTCCAACGGCAGGTGAATTGATGGGCATTGTTTCAAATCACCTTGGGTGATCTGTCCGCAGGGCAGCCATGGGCCACGTGGGGCTGTGGAACACGTGGAATGGGGCTGGTCTGAACTGAGATGAGCTGTAAGGATAAAACATACACCAGGTTTTGATGACTTAGTTTGAGAGAAAGAAGGTAAAATACTTTGATGCATGTTGAACTAATCATATTTTAGCTATTTTGGGTTAAATAAAATGTATCATTAAAATTAATGTCACCTATTTCTTCTTACTTTTTTAATGTGAATGAAAAAATGTTGAAACACATGATGCTCACATTATTATTTCTATTGAATAGTTCTGGTCTATGTAAAGGGAAGTCTTATATGTTCTCCCTTGAATAAAAATATACTTTTCTACTTCAGGGAAAAGATGGTTGAGGCTGATATTTAAGACCCTTATACTTACTTAGATGTTATTTTCAGTGTTTGTCATTTTTGAAAATATAAAAGTAGTAATATTATGCTTTATTGCCTTAATGTGAGTTTTGCTTTTGATTTAAAAAAAAAACCACCCTTACAATAATTGAGTTGAAAAGCATACTATGTTCCCATTGGTCCATCAATTATTTCTTTAATGGCTCCTGGCATAGCTCATGAGTCACTGAAGAATCCTCTATAAGACAGTTCGTAGGGGCCATCCGACACAGCCAAGCCTGTAAGTCACCCCAGACTACCTAGAGAGTTACCCTAAAGTTGATGACATCAGAACCTTCCCAGCTCTCCTCCTCCAGAGGTGTGAGCCAGCCTGGTGGAGCCCCCACACTGTATAGGGACAGCCGTGCCCTGTCCCACACCTCCACGGGAAGCAGATCAGTGCCTCCCTTGGCATGGCATGTCTTTCTTGCCAGGAGAGCTTCCCAGTTCCTCATCCTTGCCAGCTTTCCTCAGCCTGTGCTGGGACCCAGCCTGAGGCTGGTGGGGAGCCAGAGAATTTCTGGGGGAGAGACTCGAAGGGCAGGGAGATGGGGACAAGGACAGATTGCATCTGTAGATTGACTCCTTTCTTTGTCAGCCCTCGGCTGGGGGTGTTTCCAGGCTTAAGAAAGTCAAAGGAAGGAAGACAAGAAATGCCGGGGAAGAGGATTAGGAGCTAGCTAAGCAATGAAGGAGATGGTCAGGGAGCAGGGGGCTGGCAGGAGGAGGTTGGATTTGCCTAGAGGAGGTCAGGGTGGACAGGAAGTGAGGGAAGCGTGGATAGACACAGCTTAGGCTTCTGTTGAAACAAAGGATTGGAGGGGGGCTGGGGCTGCTTTTCTAGCCAAAAAGAAAGAGAAGTAGCCTGAGGGATAGGTTTGGGGGAATTGTAACTTCCTGTAGCACTAATGTCAACCATCTTTGGGTTCCTGACCTATTTTTGGTTGTCTTCACAGGATGAATTGGATCTCACTGACAAAAACCGGGAAGCTGTGTTTGCGCTGCCCCCTGAGAAGAAATGGCAGATCTACTGCAGCAAGAAGAAGGTGCCATCTCTGACCCCTTCTGCTGCCACCTCAGGATCCTCGGCATGGGGCAGCTCTGGCCTCCATGCTCACTCATTCACCAACAGATACTCATTCTACGCCAGCACTGTTCTAGCGTCGGAGAAAGGACAGTGAATAAGTCAGGACAAAAAAATCACCGCTCTCTTGGAGCTTGTACTCAGGGAAATAGGAGTCAATTTTTTAAAAACCTTTTAGACTGGCACCTGACAGATTCCAGGAGTGGTGCCTGGTCAGGGAGGTATAAAGATCTAGGCCAGGTCTAGACTCCCTTCTCGTGCTTGTACCCATGTCTGGATGGCACGTTCTCCTGGGACAGAGCTGGGACATCTCTATTTTAAGGACTCAGTTTTGGGGGTGGAGGGGTTGCCTCTGGATCTTTAGCCCCTGCCCTGTCCCAGGCTCGGTCTCGCAGGGCAGAATGTACATTAGGGTCACACCTCAGTGCCTGTCTTCCCCATACTTTCTGCCCAGTCCTCTCGTGCATTAGAAGGCCATCGGTCTCCTGACCGCGGTGCTCCCTGCAGAGGGGCGTGCAGGCTCCGCTCGGGGCTTGATTGGGCTTTACCCCCTCCCTGGTTTCCCAGCTGCTCTGCTCTTTTCTGTCTCCAGCTCTGTGTCTCTCTTGATCATCTCTTTCTTTCTGGGTCTCTCTTGTCCTCTTCCATGTCAGCTGTTCTGTTTCTTTCACTGTTGTCCTTTCCTTGTCTCATCTTCCTCCTCTGTCCTCCACTCTCCCATTTTCAGACTTGAGGCTTATTCCTCTGAGCTCAGAGTCCAGGTGTTTAGAGGTTAGGGCTTGGTTATTCCTGCACCCAAGGCTCAGACCTGCTCCCTCATGGGACGAGACAGGCAGGTCTGAACTGTTCATACTTTGTCATCCCTGAGTCTGTTCCAGGCCTTTATTCTTGCTCTTCTCACTCAGGGTGTTTGTGTCATCCAGGGCTCCACACTGAGCCAGACTGACCTTATGAAGTAAGAGAACTAGAATCACAATCATGCACCATTCTAGAGATGGAAGGAACTGAGAAACAATCCAATCTAGTCCTTCTTTCTACTTTTGAGGCAAGGACAGCCTGGGGAGGCAATGGCCCCTCCAAAGTCAGCAGCCAGTGATGACAAGTGGCTGCCCTGTTGCTAGAACCCAGGCCTGCTGGAGTCTGGGGACCTGTGATGAGACGCTTGTGTTGTACATACTACCAGCCATGGTCCACTATACTTAATGCACATTTATTAAGCCCCTGCAGCATGCTATGCTTTTTGTCTAGGAATTTCACTGTGAGAAAAGCAAGTCTTAAAAAAGCTCAAGTCATGGAAGGAAGGGAGGGAGGGAGGAGAAAATTAAGTCCAGGAGTAATTAATCTGTCTCATGTATCTCCATTTTCCGTCTGTTTACTATGGAGCTCCCTTAAGCTGATCTCTTAATACAGCTAAAATAAGAGTATTAAAACATAGTACATCTCTCTGCCTTCCAAGCCAAATTATGTATAATTTCCCTACACATTCACACCTCTGTCTGTAACACTGTCCCCATCTATCTTAGCTTCAGTAATCCTCAGTAACTCAGCCCAGTCCTCTCACAACCCCCCAACCCGACTTCCCTCTAGAGTTTTCTGTGTTCAGTGAATCCCAACCCCTCCCGGGTTTCCATGGCCCACTATGGACAGTTCCACCGTAGAGCATTTATCACCCTGCCTCTAGCACTAGACTATTGTCTGGAAGGCAGACACTATGACTGGCTCAATGCTTTCAGTGTACTGATTGGCATGAGCAGGTGCTCGTTAAGAGCACGTGGAATGGGTAAATGATGAACCGGGAAAGGCAGGAAAGTGTGTGTTTGATGATGCCTTTGTTTTTGGCTCTGTGATCTCCTCTCCAAGGCAGAAGTTAGCATTTGGGGGCTTCAGCCATGGAGACTTAACCCAGAGAGCCAGGTGGAATCACAAAGACTGAATCAAGGCACCTTTCCTGCTGGTCTAAAATTTGGGTTTTATAAAACAAAACCATGGAGCCCAAGTGGATGGAGTTGAGGGATGTAGGGCAAAGTCCAGGCCAGCTGGCAGACAGGTGGTTGGTCAGGAAGGTGCTAGAGGAGGTCAGTTTTTATGCTGATTTGAAAGCAGGAGATTGGCAGAAAGCAAAGGAGGGGAAATGTCCAAATGGGACTGGGACAGGAAGGAGCAGTGGGTGTGGAATGCCCAGAAACAGATCCTTTGGCTGGAGCAGAGGGCTGGATTTTCAATGATCAGTAACTCCCATCATTCTCGCCCACCCTTATGGAAGAGTCAGCTCTTGGAGCCTGACGGCTGGGCCACAGTCCTCTGATCTGGGCTCTGCCTCCAAGCTGCACAGCCCCCTCCTGAGTTTTTCTAAAACCCAGGGTCTTGGGAATTTCTCTTTCCCTCTTTTTGTAAAGTTACTATTTACTGAGCACTACTATATGTCAGGTACTGTACCAAATAATTTATGTCAGTGTTCCTCAAACTATCTGAAAGACCAAGTTTTTAATTTTCTAAACTGTCACAGACAATACTTTTGTAAAATACAATGAGAATGATATTATCAGAAAAGTAAAATTTGGAGAAATAGATGTATAAGATAGAAGCACACTTTTTTATTAGATGCAACAGAAATAAAATTATGTTTTATTAGAGTCAGAACAAATGTAACAGGAAAAAAGAATTTACTTTTAAATTGTATAAATTGTCCGTTGAATGTGTATATGTCTGCACAATTGTTGGCTGGTCATGAGATCAATGTTCATGATCTGCATTTTACAGAGGAAGGAATGGAAGCCTGGGGAGATTTTGTAACTTCCTTAAAGTCACCTTGTCTAGGTGACTGGGAAATGGATCTGTCTGCTGACGTGGAATGAAGCTGAGGATCTCAGGCCATGGGCTTGTCTTGCTGGTTGGTTCATACAGTTCCTTCTTCCCATTCCAGGAGCAGGAGGACCCCAACAAGCTGGCGACCAGCTGGCCTGATTACTACATCGACCGCATCAACTCCATGGCTGCAGTGAGTGGCTGCCCTCTCCTGGCTCCACAGGGAAGGGCTGTGCGGTGGATGGGGCTTCCCTTGTCTGTCCCTGCACCTCATCTCACACCCCACTCCCTGGGGATCAGCAGTTTCCCAGGGTAGCCCGAGGAATTTCAACAGAATCCCTCCCTCCCGTGTGACTTTCGGGTCCCCCAACCATTTAAGCATTTGGTAACCATTTGTGTATCACACAGGCTTGGCAAATAGGCTGGGCCAGTAATTCTCCCCGCTTTACAGAGGAGGAAAGTGAAGTCCAGGTCTTCTCAGCCTGATCCTCTGTCTCATAGAACATTCCTGAGGCCTCACACTTGCTGAGGCGAGCGTAGCCCTGGTCACACCTGGGCGGGGGGAGTAGGGAGCCAGGAGAAAGGTAGTCCGGCGTGACCCCACTCCCTGCCACAGATGCAGAGTCTGTACGCCTTTGATGAGGAGGAGACAGAGATAAGGAACCAAGTGGTGGAAGACCTGAAGACGGCCCTGCGGACACAGCCCATGAGGTGACCCAGCCTGCTCCCCGTCCCTCACGCCCTTCCTCCACCTCTCACGGGGGTGGGGGGTCCGGGGGTGAGAGGGGTTCCCGCCTACTTCCTGAAGCCTCGCGCAGTGCTCACCCATGCTCGGCCCCTTGGCCAGCTCCAGTTCCCAGCATTCCCTAGTCCAGCTCCCATTGGACTCTCTGAGGCTGCCCGAAGGTGGGCAAGGTGGGGAGGGGGAAGGTGACCACAGGAGAATAAACCTCAGGTCCTAAGAGCTATCTGAAGGGAAGCTGAGGGCTGGTACTTGTCTTCTGGGGAGAATAGAATAGGCGGGAAGGTGGCCCTTCGGAGAAGGACACCGTGCATAAGAAAGAGTTCTGAGAATGAGTCACCCAGGGAGACGGGTGTGGGTGAGAAACGCTCCAACCACCAGGGGGAGACTTGCTGTCTCTGGATGAGATTGCGCCTGGTAGAGTAGGAGCAACCAGGCAAGGAAAAGGGAATGACTTCTCGAAGGCAGAGGAAACCAACTCCCCGAGCCCAGGCCCACTGCGCCAGGGTCCAAGGACGGCCAAGAGCCACAGGTTCTTCTTGCATCTGCGTTCTGGCTCCGACCAGCTTGCAGGAGCCAGCTGTTAAATTTGCAGCAGTTTTGCAAGTTGGTTGTTGAACATAGCTGTAATTAAAATGTAAATTATATGAAATTATGTTAAATAAATTATATCAAAAATAAAAGTAATAAATAAAACCAAAAGTAATAAATACCTGAAACATTACTCCCTAATTACCTAATGATTTTACCACATTTTACTGTTATGTATATTTTTTATTGTTATGTACTCTCTTGAGCTTATGTCCATTGTATATGCATGGTGGAAATACCATAAACAAGTCCCAGGTCCACATTCAGTGACATCACATTGATAGCCTGAAAATGGCTATGCTGGCAGTATTATGCTGGTAGAAATTGGCAAACACCATAATCAGGCCTTTCTCCTTTCTTTCTCCAGAGAGCTAGTTGTTAAATGTTTAGCAGCACACTGGTCTGTCTGTGTGCATGTGTGCGTGTGTGCGTGTGTGTGTATGTGTGTGTGTGTTGGTTGAGCTTCTGCCCCTGGACCCAAAACAGATCCTCAAGGAAGATGGGAATATCCTAATCCCCATCACCGCTCAGGTGTTGGGGGGGGTCCGGTGTGGGAAGGGGATGCAGGAAGGTGATGAAGTCAGGAAGTAGAGGGGTTGAGGGGAGGTTGCCAGGTTCATCTCCCACTTTAATTTATTTCTCTTTCCCTTAAAATTCTAAATACAAAGTTACACATAATCATGGTGGAAATTTTGTAGAATACAGAAAGAATATAATAGAAAAGGTAAATAATACCTATTTTTAACAACTTAATTTGTGAGAGTATTCTATTTTTCTAGGCATATTGTATAATACAGAAATACACACAAATACACCATTATTATCAAATATATTAATTCCATGTAGTGCTTCCCTCAGCTCCATTTATCACATTTCCTCAGATCACTAATTATTGTTCTATTAAGTCAAGTGTTCAAAGCCTTTTAGTGTGCGTGTGTATGTTATGCCACAAATGATTATAGTGCCCGGGTGAAACATATCGACTACTTATCAGAATGGTGTTTTTAAGTAACTTAATAAAATAATTAAAAACAGTGTAAGATAAAAAATAAACCAATTAAATTGAAATATATTTACCAAACATGAAAAATTTGTGGAGTAGTAGTAAATGTGCTTCTTTGTACCTCAAATAGCCATGAACTAGCAAGCACCATAATTTTGAAGTGATAATGAGTAGAAATGATACTTGGAGATTACTGCAACAGCTGTAATTTGTGTGAAAATAACCGTAATTTCTTTGGGTGACCAAGTCACAGATTCTGCTAATACTAGTGTAGTTTATTGCTTGTATTTGTCAGTGAAGGAACTGCTAACTTTCAGTGAGAGGTTACCAAAAAGAAAGGCATAATTTTCTTTTACCATTTAAGTTCATGGACTCCTGAATGCTAGCCATTGACTCTTTAGGGGAACACAGACTCCAGGTGAAGAATCCCTGAGCTATATGGTTTTTAATGTTTTCTGCTAATATTCAGGAGAACTCATCTGTTTTCTGAAGGATCCCTTGAAGTGTACTTTCCCTGGCCATGGACCCTTGTCTCAGTGACTCTGATGGGCCCCTTGTCTGGAAGTCCTTGTCGTCTGACTGTAATTCTCTCAGCTCCCATCCTTGCTGGAGATGAGTCTCCATGTTTAACAGTCATGATAACTATCGTAATAATTTTGTAGAATTTGTGTCATCCCCTTCACCTTCAGACCATCATAGCTGTGCAGCTCACAGTCGTGGCTTGCAGATGCACAGTGTTTAAAGGCAAATAAGATGCAAGTCTCCTGTGAGGGTGATAGGATTTCAGTGCTTTAGATAAACTTTATAAAGGAGCCAAGTGGCTACTGTAGGTGAGACACAGTGGTACACAGGGAATGGGGTAGCTATTTGCAGAATGTAAACAGAATGCTCTGCAAATAGGATAGCTGTTTTGCCAACGGTTCTTGCCTGGGCAGGTTTGTGACCCGCTTCATTGAGCTGGAGGGCTTGACCTGTCTGCTGAATTTCCTCCGGAGCATGGACCACGCCACCTGTGAAAGCCGCATCCACACCTCGTTGATTGGCTGCATCAAGGCTCTGATGAACAACTCCCAGGGGCGGGCGCACGTGCTGGCCCAGCCAGAGGCTATCAGCACCATTGCACAGAGCCTGCGCACAGAAAACAGCAAGACCAAAGTGGCTGTGCTGGAGATCCTGGGCGCTGTGTGCCTTGTACCTGGTGGCCACAAGAAAGTGCTTCAGGCCATGCTCCACTACCAGGTGTATGCGGCAGAGCGCACGCGCTTCCAGGTGAGGTGCCTGGCAGAGGGCTTATATAAAAAGTCAGGAGGACCTTAAGCAATAGGGCTTTGACTAGGAAAATGGACTCCTTACTAGATCATGGGTTTCTTGAAGCTGGAATATTTATCTGCTACATTTTTTTGTGGTTCTGCATCTCTGAGCCCAACACCTAGCTCACAGGGGCTCAGTCAAGAATTATTGAATTGAAAGCAATTGCTGGGGTCAAGATTTCAGGCCCTATACCTGGGCGAGTGCCCGCAGTGGGGATGCTGGGACCAGTTCTGGGAGCTCAGATCATGCCATTTTCTTTTCTTCTCCCTGACCTGCCCCAGAAAAGCAATGAGGTAGACAACACATAGAAAGTGTTTTGGAGTAAGACTCAATAGATGTGCACTGTCTTTGGAAACCCTATGGGTTATTCATCAGTATAGGCTATTGTTTATTCTGTCATCAAACATTTTGAAGCTCTACACTGTGCAGAAAGTGGCCCCTGACCCTTTGCAGAAGATGCAAAAGAGATACAAGCCAGACCCATGCTGTCAAGGAGCTGGGCCAGGATTGCTTAGGAGCTGTCAAAGCTTGAAAGGGCTGAAGTAGCATTTCAGAGCGGCCCAACAGTGTAGACCAAGCCCTGAAGGAAGCAGGGCGGTGCTGAGATTGAAGTGTGTGTTGGGGGAAGGCTAGGTGGGGGAAGGGCCAGGGTAACTTGGATAGATTGGGTAGTGAGAACGGATGGGGCATGCTGGGTCGCTGCAACCTGGGGAAAAGGCACGGATGTTGGACTTATAGCAGCTTGAGCCCTCCTCTCCTCTTCTGTCCTGCCTTTCCATCCAGACACTGCTGAATGAGCTAGACCGAAGTTTGGGCCGCTACCGGGATGAAGTGAATCTGAAAACAGCCATCATGTCTTTTATCAATGCTGTCCTCAATGCTGGAGCTGGAGAGGTGAGCCATCTTCTTCTTGCCCTTACTGTTTCCTGACTTTCTGGACCTGGGGTAGAGCGTGTGAGTCCTTCCTGGGGGAAGTGGCAGAAGGAAGGGCCCAAGGCACCTGGCTGGGGTGGCTGTCACTACCATCATCATCTTCAGATTGTCTTCATCACCTCTTGTCTCTTTGGTTTGGGGCCCAGAAAGAATAGCTTGTCATGGATCCTGCTGTCATGAGGGCTTCTTGGGGAGTTTCCTGCATGGGTAGCACTATGTTTTGAATGTGTCATAGACAAACCCTGAGCTTGGCTGCCTGATGATGGCTTAGGGTGGTGGGGGATCATTTATGGGAGGAGGGCAAGTGTTGGATCTTCTTTCTAGAGGTTTCCTGATTCTGGACTGGTCTGTGGGTTGGCTGTTCATGCTCTTCTAGCACCTTCTCCTAGGTGTGACTTCATATTTTCCTTCCTTTGGGGTCAGAATGGGGTTCTCAGACCATTAAATAAAATAACAACAATTGAAGAAGAACTTGAAGAGTAGGTGACTTCAAATTCTATGCCAAGGTCAGCCTGCTAAGGGACAAAAGGGAACTTTAATGATCTCTGCTTTCCCCTCTTTTCTGACAGCATACTTTTTTTTTGCATCCAGTCCTGATGACCTGAGTTAGGTGAGGTGGATTGAGGAAATAACCTGTCCCTAAAATGCTGACATCACCTTTGTCAGTCCTAGCTATTTATGACAGACATCTGTTCTGATTAGTTGGTAACCATAAACCATACCTCATCAGTAATGAATATGAATATCACTCCTGTAGGTAAGAGTAATATTGTACCCACTTTATAGATGAAAAAGCTAAGGCTTTCCTCAAATCACAAAGCTAGTAAATGGCAGAGCAGGGATTTTAACTAAGATCTGTCTGATTCCAAAGTTTATGCTTATCATTCTACAATACTGTTGTTTGATGAAAAAAGCTAGAAGAAAAAACTCATATTTAAAGGAAGTGAGGCAGGAGACCTGAAAGAAATAAATAACAAGGTCAAAAGATGTCTCCTTCTACCCTTTCTTGGAACTCTGGGACCTGAGCCATTCTGGGTGAGTTTGCTACAGGAGATGGGGTGGGACAATGACTGGAGTAGTGAGGAGGGGCCCACTGGGGGATCCTGTGGAGCAGGAGACCAGCCGATGAGTCTGGTCCTCTCTCGTTGACCCCAGGATAATCTGGAGTTCCGCCTACATCTACGGTATGAGTTCCTAATGTTGGGGATCCAGCCTGTGATTGACAAGCTCCGGCAGCATGAGAACGCCATCCTAGACAAGTAAGGCCCAAGCTGCCTGCCCACTGCCACCTCCGGGGACAGGGCCTCTGTGGGGGTTGGTCAGGACTTTGGTGGCGGCTGCCCTTCCCACTGGAGGCCACCTGCCATGCCCAGCATGGATTCAGAATCAGCTCTGTGGGCGGAGGGGACAGCTTTCCCACCCCCTTGTCCCACCACCCCCTTGACCCACATCTTACCTAGGCCTCTGCCTGCTCTCTTTGCTCGCCTGCAGTCTCATCTCTGATGTTTTAGACAGGCTGAGCTGTAGTACCCAGCTAGGGTGGTACTGGCCCCTGGGGGGCATTTGGGAACATGCAGGGTGCTCTTTGGATTTCAGATGGCTGGCCGGGGCCCTGCTGGTGCTGGCTGTTGGAGGCCAGGAGTGCTGTGGGCCCTGCAGTACAGCCCCGCTCAACAAAGACAAGCCCCACTCCAAATGCAGGCCACAAAGACCCTTGATCAAAGGGCATAATTAAATGCCCACGCGTCACCAGGGAGCCCCTCTGGTCTGTCCCATGGGTACAGACTGTTGCATTACACTGGGTCTTTAGGGAAAGAGCATGTATCCTTTTGAGGTGGAATTGGGGAGTGAGTGAGGTAGCAAACGAGAGAGATTGGCTTTGAGGCTGACATGGGGACAGTACGAGAACATGGGGGAGGGTAGATGTCCAGCAGTGGTTCTTGACTGGGGGTGATCTTACCCCCCATCTGGCAATGCCTGGAGACGTTTTTGTTGCCAAACTTGAAAGTGTGGGTGGGTGGGAGGGGGGAAGCTGTTGGCATCTGTTGGTCAGAGGTCAGAAACCCTGCTGAGCCTCCTACAACCCGCAGGCCAGCCTCCCACAACCAAAGATAATCCCGCCCCAGTGCCACTAGTGCCAAAGGTGAGAAAGCCCAACGGATGGTGACGGGATGGACCCGGGCGGGCCCGTTCACCTACAGACAGGCGGCTGCTTTCTGCTGTTTCCCTGTTGCCTCAGTTTAATGAAGCTTTTAGATTTAGCTGCTGCGGGGCTCCAAGGGGCTGCAGCCCCCAACCAGGGATGTCCTGGTGGTGATGTCTGTGCTGTCTACCCCCACATTCTTCCAGACATCTAGACTTCTTCGAGATGGTCCGGAATGAGGATGACCTGGAGCTAGCCAGGAGGTTCGACATGGTGAGGAGCATGCAAGGGTGGGCGACCGTGGGGGGTCCCAAGCGGCAGCACGGCCACACCTCCAGACCCTGTGCTGTGGTAGTAGGCCCAGTGTGGTGGGGTCCCCTGTGGGCGCCCCATCACCAGGCCCTGCTTCTGGAACCTGGCTGTATGTTGGCTCTGTTGGGTCTCACCTGGCTGGCTTTACCTGGCAGGGCACCTATACCCTGGGGGACTGTGACCCCCAAAGGAAAGAGAACCAGCTCTTACACAGGATTAGTCTCAAATGCCTTTTCCCCCTGCTGACATTCCCCCTGCCTTCCAGTGGTTTTCTGAGTCACCCCTGCCATGACCACTAACAAGATCATGCTCAGCAAACCAAATCGTATTTTCATTTTAGTTGTAGTAATCCTGAAAATACACATCTCTGTTGCTTAAATATTGTACAATAAAACCCCTATCTGAATGGAAACCTCCTTTTGGGGTGGTGCTTCAGCCACCAAGCACGATCCCATTACATTGTCACAAAAGCCCTGGATGTACAGATAAGGAAAGTGAGGTTAGAAAGGATAAGCAGCTAGCCTGTTGTCACAGTAGGTCCAGTATTTGAACCAACCCAGATTGGGTGGAGCTATGCTACATGCTCCTTGACTCACCTGTACACCTGCTCCCTTCCCTTACTTTGAACCAGTAGTGCTCAACCTGGAATGGTTTTGCTGCCCCTGCCTCTGGGGACATTTGCATTGTCTGGAGACATTTTTAGTTGTGCCAGCTGGTATGAGAAGGATGCCACTTGCATCTGATAGATGGGGGCCAAGGATGCTGCTGACTACTTGCAATGAACAGGACAGCTGCCATAACAGAGAATTGTCTGGTCCAAGATGCCGGTAGTGCCGAGGCTGAGAAGCCCTGCTTTCTCTCTTGAGCACGGCTCCCTCCTCCTCTGCTCCGCCCTGGGGCATGGGGCCCAGTGGATGAAGGCAGGGTCTTTTCTCTCCTATCTTTTCCTCTGCTGCCTTCTCCACCCCTTACATTGTGCCCTCCACTCCCCCAGGTCCATATTGACACCAAAAGTGCTTCCCAGATGTTTGAGCTGATCCACAAGAAGCTGAAGCACACCGAGGCCTACCCGTGCCTGCTGTCTGTGTTGCACCACTGCCTGCAAATGCCCTGTGAGTAGCCCGCACTGCCAATTCCCTCAGCCAGCCTGAGCCTGGCCTGGGACAGGTTGAGACAAAGTATCAAGATCTCCCTGGGTTGGTGAGTCTGACCATGTCTCCCTCAGCACAACCCCCAGGAGGAGAGGCCACAGGATCTGGACCCTTCCTCTTGCCTCCCTCTGTGGGGTCAGGACTTCCCATCACCCAGGGGTGGTGCTGGGAACTCAGTCCTGGGCAGTGCCAGTGTCCTAGTCTAACAAGCAGTAGTCTGATCATCGCCAAATCACCCAGCTCTGGCTGTTGCTCATTATAGGGGAGTGGTAGTCCTGTTGGGGACTTCTGGAAAGAAGTGCTGGGGGAGTAGCACAGATGTGGAGGTTGCATGCCTTTTTTTAAAAGGTTTCATCAACACCTCCATCTAGGCCCTGCTGGCTCCCGCCGTAACACCTTTGGCCCTGCCTCTCTTTACAAATACCAACTGTCAGCACGTACAGGAGCAGATGCTAAGCTCTTAAGATCCAGGTGTGCATAGTAACTGAATAAATTATGCATAATTACTAATAGCCACCCCAGCATGCAATTTGAAATGAGCTTTCACTGTACCATGTGGTATTTAAGCTCTTCACAAAATAGAATATTTGGAAAATTCGTGTGGCCCACCAGAGTGGTGAGCCTAGACAGTCTCTTTAGTGGTGATCATGGTGGTGTTGGTAATTGTGGTGAAGGTGGCAACAGCTACAACTTACTGTGCCAACTCTGGGCCGGGCGTGATGTGGGGCCTCTAGCACAGTGTCTTGGAACTGCAGAGGAGCTCAAGGAATGTGCATTATCATCTCAGGTTTACATGGATGAACTAGAGGCTGTGTGAGTATCTACATAGGAAGGAATTTTTGTTCCTTTGGGGTCAGGGCTTTAGATGAAACATGTTCTGTGAGCCAGTGACTGGCCTTACCCTATTTTCCTGGGTGAAAGGCAAATAGAAAACTAGGCCACTTTGCAATGCATGTGTCAGGGGAGTGACAGAAAGGAAAGGAGACAGTGAACTGGACTGGGAAGTGACCAGTGCTTCTCCAAGACTCAGTCCTGAAGGTCTTCATGGATGATGTGGGAAGTCCCTGGGAAACCTGACTTCTGCTCCCACAAGTTCCTGTGTTTGGTGTTCCATGGACAATGTGAACAGGTCCCTCTCTTCTGCCTCAAAAGAGGGCTTTGCAGATATGACCTTCTACCTTGTAGGCATTTATGGTTTGCCTTTGAGGTCAAGATTGTGCTGTTTGACTGCCTTGGAGGTCAGTCAAGACAAAGTACTTGATATCAAGAACCAAGATATAAACTTCAAATTGTAAAATAAATTAGTCAAAGCAATGGAATGTAACCGGTAATATTATAATATCTTAGGATGGAAACAGGGGGTCGCTACACCTACCACAGTGAGCATTTAGTAATGTATATAATTATTGAGTCACTGTATTGGACATCTGTAACCAATATAATACTGTAGATCATCTATATTCCAATAAAACAATGAGAGTCAAAATAAAGGACCAAGAAAGAGGAGCTTATGGCTACACATGAAAACGACGGCTGTGTGCAGGCAGATCCTGAGCAGAGGATGAGACTGGGGCCCTGGGGCATCACGCACGACACCCCATGCCTTTGCCTGCAGAGTTCAGGATCACCCTCACCAAGAAATCTGCCTGGACTTCCCTCTTCTCCAACCCGCTGGACTTCCTCTCCGTGCATCTCTGTAGTTAGTTTTTCTCTCCATTCATTTTTCTCTGTAGGGCAATAGCATGGATAATCTTAAAACCTTTTCTTTTTAAAACATTTCCCTGGAGACTTAATTATTTAGCACGTAATATTTTGGAGCAGATTTACTTTCTTAAAGGTCTTTTTCTTTGGATAACATAAAAATCAATTTGCATTCCCGAGGCATAGGATGCTCAGGGTAGCAACAGGGAAGAAAGCCTGCCAGGAAGCACTTCAGGGAGTAGAGAAATATATCTAGAGGGCTGACACGTTCTTGCAGGTCAGTTGCAGATCATCAGGAAATGACTGGATGTGTGAGTCTCCATCATCAAAAACTGCATTGCCTCCCCCGTCAGGTTGGGAGGTTGCCAAGGGAGAAGGGCCTGCCTCACCAGCTTGAGCCCAGGTGCTGACTCCCGGGCAGGGCCCCAGGGTGCTCCAGGGTTCAGGAAACATAACAATGTCTGTCGTTTCTCAGACAAGCGGAATGGTGGCTACTTCCAGCAGTGGCAGCTCCTAGACCGCATCCTTCAGCAGATTGTCCTCCAGGATGAAAGGGGTGTGGATCCTGACCTGGCTCCCTTGGAGAACTTCAACGTGAAGAATATCGTCAACATGTAAGCAGTGGCCAGCCCTCACCTGTTTTCTTCCTCCTTCCCTATCTCTCTCCTACTGGGGGTCTCGCCAGTGAAACCTCACTTCCTCTCTCAAACCAGCTGCCTTCAAGCAGACCTTGAGTCATGTCGTCCATTATTGCTCTCTGAGATAATGAAATGTTCCATATCCGCCCTGTCCAAATGTGGCTGCTAAGTGCTTGACAGGTGGTTAGTGTGACTGAAGAAATGAATTTGAAGTTTATTTCATTTTAATTAAATTCAAATGGCCACGTGACATATGGCTAGTGACTCCCTTGTTGGACAGCGCAGGTTTATGGAGGATGTACACAACTCTCAATGGTCCACTGCATGGAGTGGACGGAGGGGGACTGGAACACAGTAACCAGAGGAGCCTTCCGCAAACTATGGCCTGCGGGCTAACTCCAATCTTCCAGCTTTTTTTGTAGGATCCAGAGCTAAGAATGGTTTTTACATTTTGAAAGAGTTGTTAACAACAAACACACACAAGACTCTACAGGGTATATAAAACCTAAAATATTCACTCTGGCCCTTTAGAGAAAGTTGGTGACCATTACTGTGGAGCAGGTGATTTAACCATGAAGCGGTTGCCCAAGAAGGTCGGAGTCTAAGGTCTTCTGGTCTGTCATCTTAGACTGACTCTGGGTATAGGGAAATGAAGAAAACCAAGTTGAAAGTCATGTCAATTAATATTCAGGCCTAATGTTAACATGCTGACTTTTAATGTTAAACTTTTACTTAACTTTCACTATGAGTCTGAGCCAGTTGCCCTTAGAGAGATAAACTGGCTCTCAGTGATTCGTTGTATTGCATTCCAAAAGCAGGGAGAAAATGATTTGTGAACCCTTCATGCTACTGTTTTCATTGGCACAAATAATTGGATGTTGATACAGTTTAAATCCTAACTGGTGTGTTGGCCAATTGCAACTATAATTGCAGCTTTGTTTTTATTTTTATTTTCTACTAACTTTTTATGCTATTTAGTGGGAAAGTTTCTCCTCTGCCAAACAATGAAAAAGCCTCAGGTCCAAAGAATGTCTTGCTTCTTATTGGGCAGTGGAAGTCCTAAGATCATTTTAAGCTGCCAACCTAGTCCCGAATCTGTGACTGGAAGGACTAGTCTCAGATGTGGTCAACATTCTAGATTTGATTTAGCTTTAGATCTCTCTCCTTCCTGGGCTGAGGCCGAAAGCTATAGTGGGAAGGGTGTGTGTGTGCGTGTGTGTGCACACGTGCGCACATGTGTGAGTGTGTTGGCTTCTTTTCTCTGTTCTAATGCTCTTCTAACCCCTTCTGTCCCCCTTTTCTACTACCAAATCATTTCTGACTCCCACCAGAGGCAGCATAAGGGCAGGAAGGAGAAAAGGTCTTGCTTGATCAGGTAACTTTAAGTAAACAGGTTTCCAGTTCTCTGGGCTTGGCGCATGGATAAGACATGAAATGCATTCCTAGAATCTTCAAAAGTTCCTTGCTGGGTGCCTCTCAGTAAAACCCTGGTCACTGCCCATGCAAGCTTGTCGTTTTTTTCCTGGGGCTGGTATCATCTCCTCTTCCATCAGCTTCTGATGGAAGCCCAGGGCCCACAGACTTACACTATGCAAGTGCCTGGTTTTCTGCCAGGAGAGCTTCTTGGGCAGTGCTTAAATGGCTCCAGCCCAGTTTTTCCACGACGCTGACATCTGGCCCATGAGCAGCCCTCATGCAGTCTCTGTACCAACAAACCCCAGGAGTGCCAGCCAGTCCCAGCACAACACTGGTCTCCAGTATTGTTCCTCCTCTGGACCTGCCGGGCCCCAGGGCAGGTCCCAGTCCATTATAGCCCCTTCCCAACATCAGGGAACATGGGGCAGCCATCTCTGAGGGGGCTCAAAGAAACCACTTCCCTGGAGGGTGGTAAGGGAGGTGGCTCCCCAGCGAAGGACAGCAGTGGCTCTCTCCAAAGAAATCTCTTCAGAAACTATTTCTCGTCCAACTCTGGTTCTTCTTTACATCCTTAATCTGTTGACAGGGCTGAGAGTCATGGATCCACATTTCAGATTTACAAAAGAATGATTATTGGGATCTCGTCTTGGGATTTCCCCACTCTCGTACCGTGTTTAGGCGAAAGTTCAGTTTTAACTGCCAATGACATGAATGAGGATTTCCTATGGTGCAGGCTCACCCCTCTTCTCGCTCAACGTACTCATTCTGTGCTGGTGGCCCGGGCGAGGCTCTTACACAGTGGGAGCCTGGACCACGGTAGGGCCAATATTTTAATCTCTGTTAATGCAAAACCTGTTTTTGCAAAGGGGTGTAGTCATTATGTGTGAAGGGAAGCCTGAGACTTAGTTCACTGTTATCTCCATCTCTGGCCTCAGCAGCCTCCATACATCACAGAGGGGTTGGATCATAAGGTGTCTGAGAGGTCTTTCAGCTTTCACGGCCCTTGGAGAGACACACGATGAGCCTGGGCAGGGATGGGGAGGATGGGGACCGACATCTGGAGAGTAAAAATCCTAGCCTCCGTGATGTGGGTAGACAGACTGGAAATCACGGTACCAAAATGGGGAGTCGGAGATGACATGCCTTCTGGGAATCTGTGAGCCAGTGGTGAGCAGACCCTTCTCTCCACAACCCACCAGGCTCATCAATGAGAACGAAGTGAAGCAGTGGCGAGACCAAGCCGAGAAGTTCCGGAAAGGTGAGGGGCTCTGTCTGGACCTGCTGTGGCCTCCACGTATCCCCAGCCCTGCCCAGCTCAGGACCCACCTCCCCTATCGCAGGGGGACGCATGTAGGCACATTCTCTCTCCCCACTTCCTTTCCTGACTCCCTCCCACCCCAGAACACACAGAGCTGGTGAGCAGGCTGGAGAGGAAGGAGCGGGAATGTGAGACGAAGACGCTGGAGAAGGAAGAGATGATGCGCACACTGAACAAGATGAAGGACAAGCTGGCCCGGGAGTCCCAGGAGCTGCGCCACGCTCGGGGACAAGTGGCGGAGCTGGCAGCCCAACTCAGTGAGATCTCGGTGCGTGGGGACCCTCCTCTCCTTTTAATAGTTAGGCCAAGACCTTCAAGGTAGGGTGAGGAGAGAAGGTGTGGGGAGTGGCCGCAGACCCCAGGATCGGGGAGAAGAGCGACGGAGGTCTCAGCCTCGGATGGAGGGGCATGTGAGGCTGTCGGGTGGCACCTTTGTGTTAATTAGAAAAACAGTGCTCTTTCCTTGGGGTGCCACTGTCCCAGGAAGCACACCTTGGAAAGCAGAGAGCAGGCTGGGGTGTGGCTGTCCCCTCCCCTCAGCTGGACGCCCTGGGCGGGCAGTAGCCTACACAGCTGTAGGCATCAGGCCTGCTCTTGCGTTGTGATGTGTGGCCTTCTCCAGTGTCTGTGTGGGTGTGTGTTTGACTTATGTGTGTACGTTTGTGGTTGTGTTTCTGTGTGTTGCATATTTTGGATTCAGAGAGAGAAAATGGGGGCCAAATGTGTGCAGGAGGTGAGAGCAGGACGTGGGTCTCGGAGAGGTGGGGATGGGAGTAGGGAGAGGAGTCGTGGTGGTGACCTGGGGCATCCCTGCTGACAGCTTTGTCTCTTCTGATTTTCTGTCTCCCCACAGACAGGACCTGTATCTTCCCTACTCCCCCCTGGAGCCCCCCTTACCTTGTCTTCCTCTATGACAACCAGTGCCCTGCCTCCACCCCCACCCCCTCTGCCGTTCGCTTGCTGCCCCCCACCGCCACCACCACCCCTTCCACCCGGTGGGCCTCCAACTCCTCCCGGTGCCCCACCTTGCTTTGGCATGGGCCTGCCCCTCCCTCCGGAGCCCTTCCCCAGCAGTGATACCCCACTCAGGAAGAAGTGTGTCCCCCAGCCTTCCCATCCACTGAAGTCCTTCAACTGGGTCAAGCTGAATGAGGTGAGTAGCAAGGAGGAGATCAGTAGGTCCATCCTCCTACGGTGGTCCCCGGCCCATGGACTGGCTACCCACTAGATCTCCTTGTTTGTAGATTTCCTCCCTGGGTTCATTCTTTGGCAGGTAAGGCTGGGCATAGTGGATACAGAAGATGGGGTCTGCTGATGCCAGACAGCCCACCATCCACTGGGAAGGGCACCTACCCTGGGAGGAGACAGTCTGGCATGTGATGAGGCTCACATTGACAAAGCCACCTGCAGGTGGAATGTGTGTGCGCTGAGTGCTAATGGAGTGATACAGATACCAGAGCAGGGGCCAAGCAGCNGACCATGTCTCCCTCAGCACAACCCCCAGGAGGAGAGGCCACAGGATCTGGACCCTTCCTCTTGCCTCCCTCTGTGGGGTCAGGACTTCCCATCACCCAGGGGTGGTGCTGGGAACTCAGTCCTGGGCAGTGCCAGTGTCCTAGTCTAACAAGCAGTAGTCTGATCATCGCCAAATCACCCAGCTCTGGCTGTTGCTCATTATAGGGGAGTGGTAGTCCTGTTGGGGACTTCTGGAAAGAAGTGCTGGGGGAGTAGCACAGATGTGGAGGTTGCATGCCTTTTTTTAAAAGGTTTCATCAACACCTCCATCTAGGCCCTGCTGGCTCCCGCCGTAACACCTTTGGCCCTGCCTCTCTTTACAAATACCAACTGTCAGCACGTACAGGAGCAGATGCTAAGCTCTTAAGATCCAGGTGTGCATAGTAACTGAATAAATTATGCATAATTACTAATAGCCACCCCAGCATGCAATTTGAAATGAGCTTTCACTGTACCATGTGGTATTTAAGCTCTTCACAAAATAGAATATTTGGAAAATTCGTGTGGCCCACCAGAGTGGTGAGCCTAGACAGTCTCTTTAGTGGTGATCATGGTGGTGTTGGTAATTGTGGTGAAGGTGGCAACAGCTACAACTTACTGTGCCAACTCTGGGCCGGGCGTGATGTGGGGCCTCTAGCACAGTGTCTTGGAACTGCAGAGGAGCTCAAGGAATGTGCATTATCATCTCAGGTTTACATGGATGAACTAGAGGCTGTGTGAGTATCTACATAGGAAGGAATTTTTGTTCCTTTGGGGTCAGGGCTTTAGATGAAACATGTTCTGTGAGCCAGTGACTGGCCTTATCCTATTTTCCTGGGTGAAAGGCAAATAGAAAACTAGGCCACTTTGCAATGCATGTGTCAGGGGAGTGACAGAAAGGAAAGGAGACAGTGAACTGGACTGGGAAGTGACCAGTGCTTCTCCAAGACTCAGTCCTGAAGGTCTTCATGGATGATGTGGGAAGTCCCTGGGAAACCTGACTTCTGCTCCCACAAGTTCCTGTGTTTGGTGTTCCATGGACAATGTGAACAGGTCCCTCTCTTCTGCCTCAAAAGAGGGCTTTGCAGATATGACCTTCTACCTTGTAGGCATTTATGGTTTGCCTTTGAGGTCAAGATTGTGCTGTTTGACTGCCTTGGAGGTCAGTCAAGACAAAGTACTTGATATCAAGAACCAAGATATAAACTTCAAATTGTAAAATAAATTAGTCAAAGCAATGGAATGTAACCGGTAATATTATAATATCTTAGGATGGAAACAGGGGGTCGCTACACCTACCACAGTGAGCATTTAGTAATGTATATAATTATTGAGTCACTGTATTGGACATCTGTAACCAATATAATACTGTAGATCATCTATATTCCAATAAAACAATGAGAGTCAAAATAAAGGACCAAGAAAGAGGAGCTTATGGCTACACATGAAAACGACGGCTGTGTGCAGGCAGATCCTGAGCAGAGGATGAGACTGGGGCCCTGGGACATCACGCACGACACCCCATGCCTTTGCCTGCAGAGTTCAGGATCACCCTCACCAAGAAATCTGCCTGGACTTCCCTCTTCTCCAACCCGCTGGACTTCCTCTCAGTGCATTTCTGTAGTTAGTTTTTCTCTCCATTCATTTTTCTCTGTAGGGCAATAGCATGGATAATCTTAAAACCTTTTCTTTTTAAAACATTTCCCTGGAGACTTAATTATTTAGCACGTAATATTTTGGAGCAGATTTACTTTCTTAAAGGTCTTTTTCTTTGGATAACATAAAAATCAATTTGCATTCCCGAGGCATAGGATGCTCAGGGTAGCAACAGGGAAGAAAGCCTGCCAGGAAGCACTTCAGGGAGTAGAGAAATATATCTAGAGGGCTGACACGTTCTTGCAGGTCAGTTGCAGATCATCAGGAAATGACTGGATGTGTGAGTCTCCATCATCAAAAACTGCATTGCCTCCCCCGTCAGGTTGGGAGGTTGCCAAGAGAGAAGGGCCTGCCTCACCAGCTTGAGCCCAGGTGCTGACTCCCGGGCAGGGCCCCAGGGTGCTCCAGGGTTCAGGAAACATAACAATGTCTGTCGTTTCTCAGACAAGCGGAATGGTGGCTACTTCCAGCAGTGGCAGCTCCTAGACCGCATCCTTCAGCAGATTGTCCTCCAGGATGAAAGGGGTGTGGATCCTGACCTGGCTCCCTTGGAGAACTTCAACGTGAAGAATATCGTCAACATGTAAGCAGTGGCCAGCCCTCACCTGTTTTCTTCCTCCTTCCCTATCTCTCTCCTACTGGGGGTCTCGCCAGTGAAACCTCACTTCCTCTCTCAAACCAGCTGCCTTCAAGCAGACCTTGAGTCATGTCGTCCATTATTGCTCTCTGAGATAATGAAATGTTCCATATCCGCCCTGTCCAAATGTGGCTGCTAAGTGCTTGACAGGTGGTTAGTGTGACTGAAGAAATGAATTTGAAGTTTATTTCATTTTAATTAAATTCAAATGGCCACGTGACATATGGCTAGTGACTCCCTTGTTGGACAGCGCAGGTTTATGGAGGATGTACACAACTCTCAATGGTCCACTGCATGGAGTGGACGGAGGGGGACTGGAACACAGTAACCAGAGGAGCCTTCCGCAAACTATGGCCTGCGGGCTAACTCCAATCTTCCAGCTTTTTTTGTAGGATCCAGAGCTAAGAATGGTTTTTACATTTTGAAAGAGTTGTTAACAACAAACAAACACAAGACTCTACAGGGTATATAAAACCTAAAATATTCACTCTGGCCCTTTAGAGAAAGTTGGTGACCATTACTGTGGAGCAGGTGATTTAACCATGAAGCGGTTGCCCAAGAAGGTCGGAGTCTAAGGTCTTCTGGTCTGTCATCTTAGACTGACTCTGGGTATAGGGAAATGAAGAAAACCAAGTTGAAAGTCATGTCAATTAATATTCAGGCCTAATGTTAACATGCTGACTTTTAATGTTAAACTTTTACTTAACTTTCACTATGAGTCTGAGCCAGTTGCCCTTAGAGAGATAAACTGGCTCTCAGTGATTCGTTGTATTGCATTCCAAAAGCAGGGAGAAAATGATTTGTGAACCCTTCATGCTACTGTTTTCATTGGCACAAATAATTGGATGTTGATACAGTTTAAATCCTAACTGGTGTGTTGGCCAATTGCAACTATAATTGCAGCTTTGTTTTTATTTTTATTTTCTACTAACTTTTTATGCTATTTAGTGGGAAAGTTTCTCCTCTGCCAAACAATGAAAAAGCCTCAGGTCCAAAGAATGTCTTGCTTCTTATTGGGCAGTGGAAGTCCTAAGATCATTTTAAGCTGCCAACCTAGTCCCGAATCTGTGACTGGAAGGACTAGTCTCAGATGTGGTCAACATTCTAGATTTGATTTAGCTTTAGATCTCTCTCCTTCCTGGGCTGAGGCCGAAAGCTATAGTGGGAAGGGTGTGTGTGTGCGTGTGTGTGCACACGTGCGCACATGTGTGAGTGTGTTGGCTTCTTTTCTCTGTTCTAATGCTCTTCTAACCCCTTCTGTCCCCCTTTTCTACTACCAAATCATTTCTGACTCCCACCAGAGGCAGCATAAGGGCAGGAAGGAGAAAAGGTCTTGCTTGATCAGGTAACTTTAAGTAAACAGGTTTCCAGTTCTCTGGGCTTGGCGCATGGATAAGACATGAAATGCATTCCTAGAATCTTCAAAAGTTCCTTGCTGGGTGCCTCTCAGTAAAACCCTGGTCACTGCCCATGCAAGCTTGTCGTTTTTTTCCTGGGGCTGGTATCATCTCCTCTTCCATCAGCTTCTGATGGAAGCCCAGGGCCCACAGACTTACACTATGCAAGTGCCTGGTTTTCTGCCAGGAGAGCTTCTTGGGCAGTGCTTAAATGGCTCCAGCCCAGTTTTTCCACGACGCTGACATCTGGCCCATGAGCAGCCCTCATGCAGTCTCTGTACCAACAAACCCCAGGAGTGCCAGCCAGTCCCAGCACAACACTGGTCTCCAGTATTGTTCCTCCTCTGGACCTGCCGGGCCCCAGGGCAGGTCCCAGTCCATTATAGCCCCTTCCCAACATCAGGGAACATGGGGCAGCCATCTCTGAGGGGGCTCAAAGAAACCACTTCCCTGGAGGGTGGTAAGGGAGGTGGCTCCCCAGCGAAGGACAGCAGTGGCTCTCTCCAAAGAAATCTCTTCAGAAACTATTTCCCGTCCAACTCTGGTTCTTCTTTACATCCTTAATCTGTTGACAGGGCCGAGAGTCATGGATCCACATTTCAGATTTACAAAAGAATGATTATTGGGATCTCGTCTTGGGATTTCCCCACTCTCGTACTGTGTTTAGGCGAAAGTTCAGTTTTAACTGCCAATGACATGAATGAGGATTTCCTATGGTGCAGGCTCACCCCTCTTCTCGCTCAACGTACTCATTCTGTGCTGGTGGCCCGGGCGAGGCTCTTACACAGTGGGAGCCTGGACCACGGTAGGGCCAATATTTTAATCTCTGTTAATGCAAAACCTGTTTTTGCAAAGGGGTGTAGTCATTATGTGCGAAGGGAAGCCTGAGACTTAGTTCACTGTTATCTCCATCTCTGGCCTCAGCAGCCTCCATACATCACAGAGGGGTTGGATCATAAGGTGTCTGAGAGGTCTTTCAGCTTTCACGGCCCTTGGAGAGACACACGATGAGCCTGGGCAGGGATGGGGAGGATGGGGACCGACATCTGGAGAGTAAAAATCCTAGCCTCCGTGATGTGGGTAGACAGACTGGAAATCACGGTACCAAAATGGGGAGTCGGAGATGACATGCCTTCTGGGAATCTGTGAGCCAGTGGTGAGCAGACCCTTCTCTCCACAACCCACCAGGCTCATCAATGAGAACGAAGTGAAGCAGTGGCGAGACCAAGCCGAGAAGTTCCGGAAAGGTGAGGGGCTCTGTCTGGACCTGCTGCGGCCTCCGCGTATCCCCAGCCCTGCCCAGCTCAGGACCCACCTCCCCTATCGCAGGGGGACGCATGTAGGCACATTCTCTCTCCCCACTTCCTTTCCTGACTCCCTCCCACCCCAGAACACACAGAGCTGGTGAGCAGGCTGGAGAGGAAGGAGCGGGAATGTGAGACGAAGACGCTGGAGAAGGAAGAGATGATGCGCACACTGAACAAGATGAAGGACAAGCTGGCCCGGGAGTCCCAGGAGCTGCGCCACGCTCGGGGACAAGTGGCGGAGCTGGCAGCCCAACTCAGTGAGATCTCGGTGCGTGGGGACCCTCCTCTCCTTTTAATAGTTAGGCCAAGACCTTCAAGGTAGGGTGAGGAGAGAAGGTGTGGGGAGTGGCCGCAGACCCCAGGATCGGGGAGAAGAGCGACGGAGGTCTCAGCCTCGGATGGAGGGGCACGTGAGGCTGTCGGGTGGCACCTTTGTGTTAATTAGAAAAACAGTGCTCTTTCCTTGGGGTGCCACTGTCCCAGGAAGCACACCTTGGAAAGCAGAGAGCAGGCTGGGGTGTGGCTGTCCCCTCCCCTCAGCTGGACGCCCTGGGCGGGCAGTAGCCTACACAGCTGTAGGCATCAGGCCTGCTCTTGCGTTGTGATGTGTGGCCTTCTCCAGTGTCTGTGTGGGTGTGTGTTTGACTTATGTGTGTACGTTTGTGGTTGTGTTTCTGTGTGTTGCATATTTTGGATTCAGAGAGAGAAAATGGGGGCCAAATGTGTGCAGGAGGTGAGAGCAGGACGTGGGTCTCGGAGAGGTGGGGATGGGAGTAGGGAGAGGAGTCGTGGTGGTGACCTGGGGCATCCCTGCTGACAGCTTTGTCTCTTCTGATTTTCTGTCTCCCCACAGACAGGACCTGTATCTTCCCTACTCCCCCCTGGAGCCCCCCTTACCTTGTCTTCCTCTATGACAACCAGTGCCCTGCCTCCACCCCCACCCCCTCTGCCGTTCGCTTGCTGCCCCCCACCGCCACCACCACCCCTTCCACCCGGTGGGCCTCCAACTCCTCCCGGTGCCCCACCTTGCTTTGGCATGGGCCTGCCCCTCCCTCCGGAGCCCTTCCCCAGCAGTGATACCCCACTCAGGAAGAAGTGTGTCCCCCAGCCTTCCCATCCACTGAAGTCCTTCAACTGGGTCAAGCTGAATGAGGTGAGTAGCAAGGAGGAGATCAGTAGGTCCATCCTCCTACGGTGGTCCCCGGCCCATGGACTGGCTACCCACTAGATCTCCTTGTTTGTAGATTTCCTCCCTGGGTTCATTCTTTGGCAGGTAAGGCTGGGCATAGTGGATACAGAAGATGGGGTCTGCTGATGCCAGACAGCCCACCATCCACTGGGAAGGGCACCTACCCTGGGAGGAGACAGCCTGGCATGTGATGAGGCTCACATTGACAAAGCCACCTGCAGGTGGAATGTGTGTGCGCTGAGTGCTAATGGAGTGATACAGATACCAGAGCAGGGGCCAAGCAGCAGTGCTTTCTAGACAAGACAAGGGCTGGGCTAGAATTTCAAGGATAGGGTCAGGTTGAGGAAAAGGGTAGAAGATACAGGCAAAGATGTTGGGCCAAGGTCTATAGATGGTAAAGATGTTCAAAGGATTGAAATGATGAGGCTATGACAGAGGGGGCATGAAGCACCCATGCAATGAAGAGTTTGATGTCAAACTGCAGCTGTTTTGACGTCTTCCTGGGTAAGGTGTGCATGCTGGCTACTTGGCTACACTGCTCAGCAGTGAGAGGCCCTCATGAATATTGTCCACTAAGAACCACCAATCCCAGGTCCACAGGTGAGAGTTGATTCCTCTGCTGGATTCTCATAAGCATCGAGTAGAGATGCCTTGGGTCACACTAGACTGCTTGTAATTGAAGGCCAGTTCCAGCCAGGGGCAGGCCTTATCTCTGGTTCTATACTATGTCCTGTAAGAGGACCAGTGGCTTTGTCTCTGAGGTAAACGCATCCAAGGCAAGAAGGTCAAGCAGTCTGACCCACATTCACGCCATGAAGACAACAACCATGCAGACATCAGTTTGGATCTGGTACTACGAGATACCCTCTGCCCTTGTCTCTTCTGATTTTCTGTCTTCTGTGGAACTGACTCTTGGGGAATTCGTAACCGTACCATTCTATGTGAGCTTAAATGAGCCCAGATGGAGATGCAAGTGGGAAGAGAGGTAGGATTGCTAGTAGGTGGTCAGCTATTTGTTTGATGCTGTCTCCTAATGGTAGACCAGCCAGCCAGTTGGTCTGAGGTCTGCTTTGTATAAAGCTTCTTGCTGGGGACTGTGACCAATAATAGCAAAAGATGAGGCATAATCTTGCCCTCTAAGAGCTTTGTATCTGGCAAATTAGGAAGTGTGTTCAAGGAAAAGCCTAGACATCCTGGGGATGAAATGAAGGGGAGGTTTAACCTCTAAACAAAGCAGGCTTGGCTCTAACTAACTGTGTGACCTGCAGCAATCACTCATTATATCTGTACCTCAGTTTGCTTGTCTGTGAGATGACCCCTCAGATCCCTTCCATCTCTGGTCTTAGAGTCTAGGTGGAAAGACAAAGCATGAACCCAGCCCCCTCATGATCTCCTGGGTCTCTGATAACATCTCCCATCTGAGTCATGAACATGTTAGAACCACCTGTTAGCAGCATTCTGAATCAACACTGTTGAGTCTGTACCAACTGCATTGCACAGTTGTGCCGTGCGGATGCCTCTGCACGGACAGGAGGCAGGCCAGAGAGGCCACCTGCCTGTGAGCCGACAAGCAGTTCTGCAGAAGCATAGGCTGTGTGGGAGCGCTCATTGTTCATGATCGGGAATCATATATTTTAGGGTGGTCAAATAAGAAACATTTTTTGTCTCTTGTGCTTATAACTTAAGGTTTTAAAAAGATAATGGAAAGATGATTAAGCACCCCAACAATTAAGGAAAACAGAGCAATTATTTTTGCCACATTTCCATCACCCAGAGCATTGTGCTGAGGATTTTCTCTGGGGGTCCAATAATAATAAAGTTTATATAAATTCCTCAGGGACCCAGAGCAGGCCAGAGTTTCATTCCTAGACTGGAAAATACAAGGTGGATGGATGAGGCGATGGAGAGCACTTACAGGAGGTGTAGAGGGGCGTCCAATAATACTTATGAATCTGTTACTCCAGGCCCCAACTTTTAATTGTATGACTAGGGCTGAGTTCATCATTTGGGCTTCAGGTTCCTGATCCGTAAAAGGAGGGTAATTTTGACACACACGTCAAAGGATGGCGGTGAGGATTAGCTGGCTTAATTCACAGGAAGCACATGGAACAGTGACTGGCACATAGAAAGTCATAATAATAATAATAATATCAGATTAGTTATTATTAGTGACACCGTGCTTGCTTTAAGTATGTTATCCTCACTCCAACCCAGCAAGTAAGCCTCACTGAGACCCGGTTTCCCTTTGGGTGACATGACAAGAGCATGGGTAGCCAACAGCCCCACATGACGACGGGCTGGGGCTACAGGCTGATGGGGTTGTTCTGACCCCAAGTGCTCTAGGGGAGAAAGCTAGTGAAATGTGTTTTGGGGTAAGAGTTCCCTGGCCTGTAAAGGTTGCCTCTAGAGTGGCTGAAGCCCCAGGAATCTAGACTGGTGATGGTGAGCTCTTGGCCAGAATAGTGTAAAAATTAAATTCAGAAATTATTGTACATGGGAGGCACCTCAAGGCAACCTGGAGAAATTGAGGATGTGGAGAATACCAGGAATAAATGTACCTCTCTCTGGCT